GCTTCTTATTTAAATACCCTAAACTGGCTTAATGGAAAAAATTACAAGGAAACAAAATATTTATGGTTAATTTACCAAACCATTTCCCTTTGTGATCCACTAATCAAGAATCAAAATCATTTATTTATTTTTTTTTTGCTGTAATTTTCGTTCATAGATTTTTACGTATTCCATTGTAAGAAATTTCATTTCTTTTTTATTTGCAGTTTATATCAATGTAAGGATTCGATTAATTCCAATTTCGAAATTCAACCAGCTGGAAACTATAGTTATCCTGGCCTGCCAAAGCGCAAAAAGAGTAAGTATTCCTTATTCTCTGAGAATCTTTTTTTTTTTTTCATAGGCAGAAGAATAATAAAAATTCATTGAATAAATGTACTGAGTAATATATACAAAGACACATATATATGTATGTATATTAACATAGACATACAGAGCTACAGTATTTGGCTTTGTATTGACTCTTTAATAGAAAAATATGGTCGAAAAGTTTGCCATAAAAATGTTGCTGAACAGAACTGTAAACTAACTTTTAAAAGAATAATAAATTCACCGACTATTACACAATGACTAGACTTTATACTAGACTATAGATTAGACTATAGATTAGACTATAGACCAGACTATAGACTGGACTATAGACTAGACTATACACTAGACTATAGACTGGACTACAGACTAGACTATAGACTAGACTATAGACTAGACTATAGACTAGACTATAGACTAGACTATAGACTAGAATATAGACTAGACTATAGACTAGACTATAGACTAGACTAGACTAGACTATAGACTAGACTATAGACTAGACTATAGACTAGACTATAGACTAGACTATAGACTAGACTATAGACTAGAATATAGATTAGACTATAGCCTAGTCTATATTTCTAGTCTATAGACTAGACTATAGACTAGACTATAGACTAGACTATAGACTAGACTATAGACTAGACTATAGACTAGACTATAGACTAGACTATAGACTAGACTATAGACTAGACTATAGACTAGACTAGACTACATGACTAGACTATAGACTAGACTATAGACTAGACTATAGACTAGACTATAGACTAGACTATAGACTAGACTATAGACTAGACTATAGACTAGACTATAGACTAGACTATAGACTAGACTATAGACTAGACTATAGACTAGACTATAGACTAGTCTATAGTCTAGACTATAGACTAGACTATAGACTAGACTATAGACTAGACTATAGACTAGACTATAGACTAGACTATAGACTAGACTATAGACTAGTCTATAGTCTAGACTATAGACTAGACTATAGACTAGACTATAGACTAGACTATAGACTAGACTATAGACTAGACTATAGACTAGACTATAGACTAGACTATAGACTAGTCTATAGTCTAGACTATAGACTAGACTATAGACTAGACTATAGACTAGACTATAGACTAGACTATAGACTAGACTATAGACTAGACTATAGACTAGACTATAGACTAGACTATAGACTAGACTATAGACTAGACTATAGACTAGACTATAGACTAGACTATAGACTAGACTATAGACTAGACTATAGACTAGACTATATACTAGACTATAGACTAGACTATAGACTAGACTATAGACTATACTATAGACTAGACTATAGACTAGACTATAGACTATACTATAGACTATACTATAGACTAGACTATAGACTAGACTATAGACTAGACTATAGACTAGACTATAGACTAGACTATAGACTAGACTATAGACTATACTATAGACTAGACTATAGACTAGACTATAGACTATCTATATAGACTAGACTATAGACTAGACTATAGACTAGACTATAGACTAGACTATAGACTAGACTATAGACTAGACTATAGACTAGACTATAGACTATACTATAGACTAGACTATAGACTAGACTATAGACTAGACTATAGACTAGACTATAGACTAGACTATAGACTAGACTATAGACTAGACTATAGACTAGACTATAGACTAGACTATAGACTAGACTATAGACTAGACTATAGACTATACTATAGACTAGACTATAGACTAGACTATAGACTAGACTATAGACTAGACTATAGACTAGACTATAGACTAGACTATAGACTAGACTATAGACTAGACTATAGACTAGACTATAGACTAGACTATAGACTAGACTATAGACTAGACTATAGACTAGACTATAGACTAGACTATAGACTAGACTATAGACTAGACTATAGACTAGACTATAGACTAGACTATAGACTAGACTATAGACTAGACTATAGACTAGACTATAGACTAGACTATAGACTAGACTATAGACTAGACTATAGACTAGACTATAGACTAGACTATAGACTAGACTATAGACTAGACTATAGACTAGACTATAGACTAGACTATAGACTAGACTATAGACTAGACTATAGACTAGACTATAGACTAGACTATAGACTAGACTATAGACTAGACTATAGACTAGACTATAGACTAGACTATAGACTAGACTATAGACTAGACTATAGACTAGACTATAGACTAGACTATAGACTAGATTAGACTATAGACTAGACTATAGACTAGACTATAGACTAGATTAGACTATAGACTAGACTATAGACTAGACTATAGACTAGACTATAGACTAGACTATAGACTAGACTATAGACTAGACTATAGACTAGACTATAGACTAGACTATAGACTAGACTATAGACTAGACTATAGACTAGACTATAGACTAGACTATAGACTAGACTATAGACTAGACTATAGACTAGACTATAGACTAGACTATAGACTAGACTATAGACTAGACTATAGACTAGACTATAGACTAGACTATAGACTAGACTATAGACTAGACTATAGACTAGACTATAGACTAGACTATAGACTAGACTATAGACTAGACTATAGACTAGACTATAGACTAGACTATAGACTAGACTATAGACTAGACTATAGACTAGACTATAGACTAGACTATAGACTAGACTATAGACTAGACTATAGACTAGACTATAGACGACTATAGACTAGACTATAGACTAGACTATAGACTAGACTATAGACTAGACTATAGACTAGACTATAGACTAGACTATAGACTAGACTATAGACTAGACTATAGACTAGACTATAGACTAGACTATAGACTAGACTATAGACTAGACTATAGACTAGACTATAGACTAGACTATAGACTAGACTATAGACTAGACTATAGACTAGACTATAGACTAGACTATAGACTAGACTATAGACTAGACTATAGACTAGACTATAGACTAGACTATAGACTAGACTATAGACTAGACTATAGACTAGACTATAGACTAGACTATAGACTAGACTCTAGACTAGACTATAGACTAGACTATAGACTAGACTATAGACTAGACTATAGACTAGACTATAGACTAGACTATAGACTAGACTATAGACTAGACTATAGACTAGACTATAGACTAGACTATAGACTAGACTATAGACTAGACTATAGACTAGACTATAGACTAGACTATAGACTAGACTATAGACTATAGTCTAGTCTATTGTATATACAGCCGTCTTTCGCATATTTCTTGAAAAAGCTTGGAATCGAATTCATTCTTTCTAATTACTGCTATAGCCTGTCAGGATATTATTGTATTTTGTGCGAATTATGATGTCATGAAAAGTTTTAATTGAATCGTAAGCCTACTCTGTATGAATAACAAAGTCCTGCAAAAACTCATTCACACAGATCACAACTACAACCATATACATCCTGCTAATTAGATTTAGTGATTATAATATTAAGACAAACAAACACATACACAAAAATACCATCTATCTTCGTTTCACCCCAAACTGTGAGACAACTCTGGAAATGATTGTGTCTTTTGGCTGTTGTTTTTCGTTGCTTTAACCCATTTAAATTGTGTCGTTTATTGTTGTTGTCTTCTTCCTTTTCTGTCTAGGTTGCATTTTATATGCTGTGGGCAAACCCGTCTTCCATAAATATGTTGATGAATTGCATGGTTCATGGCTTAAGGATCCTGCTGCCAAAGAAACGGACCGTGAGAAAACTTTTATAACCAAAGAAAAGGACAATAAACTTTTATATGAATATACATCGAAAGTGGCGTATCGTATGAATGATGTGCCACGAAAACAATACGATTTGGGTGTGGGTTCCAAGTAAGTATTAAATTTCATAATTTTATTATGAGGATGTATATTTTGTCTTTTGTTTTGTGGATGTAAAATCCCAAAAGATTTAAAGGATTTTTAATTAAAATGAATTTAAAATAAATTTAATTTTTTTGTCTTTTTCTTATTTGTCTTTTCTTATTTTAATTTCCTAGGGCAATGCTCATGTGGTGTATAATGGCTCATTCTATTACAATCAATATAATTCGGATTATGTGGTAAAATTAGATTTGTCTACGGGTAAAAGAATCTGTAAGTAAATGTAATATATTTATATGTGTAATATAAAAGAAAAAGGGTTTTGTGTACACTTTTGTGTTGATGCAGTGCACAGTGGGGTTGTTTATATGAGAAAAAAAAATTAAATGCATTTTGGTTTACAATGACCTTTTGAAACATTAAACTTAATTTCTGAAAACTAAATTCCCAACTTCAAAGCTCTTTGATATCAAACGTTTTTCTTATTGAAAAAAAAGCTTCTGTGAACTATAAATATATCCTGTTGAAATAACTGGTTCGAGAGAAGAGTTGGAATAAACTGTTTTTCTAAGAAAGACTTAAGGAATGCTTTTGTGTTAAAAAAGCTTTTTGTTTAAAAAAAGCTATTTGTTTAAAAAGCTATTTGTTTTAAAAGAAAATGTTCAATATATAGTTTTTCAAAGAAAGCTTTTTGGCGATAAACTTGATCAACAATAGAGTTGAAGAAAAAGTTTTAAAGAAAGCTTTCATTTTAAAACTTTCCAAAGAAAGTTTTTTAATTAAACATAGTTTTTTGTTTAGAAAAAAGCTTTTATCTGACCAAAAAACTTGTTTGATATTTTAGTTTTTTGGGCAAAAAAAAAACTTGTTTACAGAAGAGAAGCTTTTTAATTGACAAGAATTTTTTGGTTTAGAGCTTTTCTGACAATTTAAAAACTCTATTTGTTCAAAAAAGCTCTTTTGCTCCAAATTTAAAAAAAAAAATTGTTCACAGTAGAGATGGTGAAAAAAAGTTGTTTTAAGAAAAGCTTTTTAAAATTTAAAACTAAATCGAAAGGAACTTTTTGATTCATATAACTTTTATGTACTAAAAAGTCTTGCTTTTTAACAAAAGCTTCTTTTTAAAAAGCTCTTTGTTAAAAAACGTTTATGTTAAAAAATCTTCTTATTCCGTTACTTTGTTATTCTGTGAAATTTTGTTTAAAAAGCGTTTTGTTCAAAAAAGGTCTCTAATTAAAAACATTAATTTTTATTCAGAAAGCTTTTTGACTAAAAAGCGTTTCTAAAAAAACTATCTAAAAAATAGATTTTTGAGACAATGACGCTTCTAAACAAAAAGCTTTTTAAGCAAAAAAGTTTTTTGAAACAAAAAGAGCTTTTAAACAAATTGTTTTAACAAAAACAAACAAAAGCTCTCTTGTTTCAGAAAAAAATCTTAACAACAAAAAGCTTGTTCACCCAAAAAAAGTTTTTTTTTAAACAAAAATATCTTTTTAAAAAAACCTTTTTTAAAATCAAAAATTTTTATTAAAAAAAAAAGCTATTAACTAAAAAAAAAATTAACAAAGATAACTTTAAAAAAAGAGTTTTAACAAAAAAAAAGCTTTTTATAACCAAACAAAATTTCTCTCTTTTTGAAGAGCTTTAAAACAGATATCAAGAAAAATGTTTGTATTGTAGTTTGTTTCCATATTTCTTTAAATTTATTCACCTGTCCAGTATTTGTTTTAATCTAAATACAATATTTTATCTACAATTATCTACCTAAATTAATTACTAAATTAAAAAAACAGTTTTATTACTGCACATTCCATAAACTCTTACACCTTTAACAGCAATTAGTTAAAAACACTTTAAATCCTAAAACTAAACTAAACCATAAAGTCAATTTTCGAAACTAGCAACAACAACCACCATTACTATTTGTACGTTTTAGTTTATAGAAAAATAGTTTTAGAGAAATAAATCACAACAAAAACTGAAACTAAATCAAAGTCTCTCTTCTTCATTAATTGCAGCAACACAATTGCCGAGTGCTGGTATTGCAACTGGTAATAAATTGTATTCGACAAAATACAACTACATGGATTTTAATGTGGATGAGGTTGGTTTGTGGGTAATTTACAGCACTTACGATTCCAACAATACTCTAGTGGCAAAGGTAAAAATTAGAAAGGAAAAAAACAAACTACTACTACTACTAGTATAGTTTCTATAACATCAACAAAATATGTACTTATCTAACTTTGAAAACCTTTAAAAAACGCACACACACACACATACATACTAACATAGACAAAGTTTTTATTTTAAAACCGAAACAAACACAAATATACTAACATTGTGGAAATGTGTTGCAGTGATGGGCACTGTAACACATTACTTACTCTTATATACATATATAGGTTTTAAACAACTGCCCCTCGCTGCTCTAGAATTGTTAAATGTTCAATAGCATTTCACCATCTGTTTATGTATTAAGTAGAGTAAAAGAATTTCTATCACAAAAAAGAAACACATATTTTATTAACGTTCGTATTGTGATGTGTTGCATGTTCAAAGACCAATAACAATGTTTGTGAGTGTTTTTATCGAATTTGTTTCTTAATACTCCTGTGTATGCAACATATACTCAGAATTCATTTGATACTGCTGACTTCAACTAAATGTGCTCCTCTTATTTTGGTATTTTTCATTCAATTTGTACATTATTTCCAATAAAATCAGTATTATGGAGAAATGTCATTACGAGACGTTCTTGCAACAATGGAAAATTGATGATGATTTGGACGCAGGTTTGTCGAGGAAGGCATAAGAATAAAGGAAGTAAATTTAATTTTTCGCATAGAAAATTTTTCACTGCAACGTTAATATTGTGAAGGGAAAATTATGGAAAAATAAGGGAACTATTTATGATGTGATATATTTTCTATATCAAGAAGTTTTCAGAGATTCCATATGACATAATTTCTTTATAAAAAACTTCATATATATGATCTGTGATACCATTTCTGTGTGGGAAAAACTCCCACAGACAATCTGTATTGCTTTTTTTATATAGAAAATTTGATTTTCTTTAAGAAAAAATTGTTCGCATTCAAGTTGCAATCAATTTTTTTCTACACATTTCACTTCCTACTTAATAAAATTTAAGAGTTTTTCTTTAAAAAAAATTCTTTTCATTTGATTGTGATAATTTTCTTACCACAAAATGTAAGTTGTAATTCTCCTTGGACCAATACATTACTTTAGCTTCATTGTCAAAGCAATTGTATAAAATCACGAGCATACACACATGCACACTCTCACACACACACACATTGTCAACATAACTACATTAACACACACTTACATAAATACAAGAATGAAAACCATCAATTGTCTTCGTTTGTGTGTAGGGACCAGGGTAGGAAGATTTAGTAGTTTTGTTGTCTTGCGTTACATATATCTTACTTTAAGCGTATGTAAGTATGGATCTCTAGTATAGAGGGTTAACATTAGCTGTTTGTAACAACTGAAAATATAATCCTAAATTCAGGTTTAATATACAAATTGGCTCTGAATTAATACTTAAACTGATTTGTCAATGCCAGTCCGTCATTTGTCACTCTGTCTGTATATCCCTGTAAATTTGTAATAAAACAACATGATTCATTCATTAGTTTTTAATTCTAAACTAGAACTGAATGAACTATAAGTGAATTAGAACTGAACTTAATTTATATGTATGTATTTCATGAAGAACACCACTACGTATGATTATTATTTTACTACTTATACGCCTACCGTATTTTAATTGAATTTTCTCTTTAAGACCCACAAGAACTGAACTAGAACGAACTAGACCTGAACTAGAACTGAACTAGAACTGAACTAGAACTGAACTGGAACTGAACTAGAACTGAACTAGAACTGAACTAGAACTGAACTAGAACTGAACTAGAACTGAACTAGAACTGAACTAGAACTGAACTAGAACTGAACAGAACTGAACTAGAACTGAACTAGAACTGAACTAGAACTGAACTAGAACTGAACTAGAACTGAACTAGAACTGAACTAGAACTGAACTAGAACTGAACTAGAACTGAACTAGAACTGAACTAGAACTGAACTAGAACTGAACTAGACTGAACTAGAACTGAACTAGAACTGAACTAGAAACTGAACTAGAACTGAACTAGAACTGAACTAGAACTGAACTAGAACTGAACTAGAACTGAACTAGAACTGAACTAGAACTGAACTAGAACTGAACTAGAACTGACTAGAACTGAACTAGAACTGAACTAGAACTGAACTAGAACTGAACTAGAACTGAACTACTGAACTAGAACTGAACTAGAACTGAACGAGAACTGAACTAGAACTGAACTAGAACTGAACTAAACTGAACTAGAACTGAACTAGAACTGAACTAGAACTGAACTAGAACTGACTAGAACTGAACTAGAACTGAACTAGAACTGAACTAGAACTGAACTAGAACTGAACTGAACTAGAACTGAACTAGAACTGAACTAGAACTGAACTAGAACTGAACTAGAACTGAACTAGAACTGAACTAGAACTGAACTAGAACTGACTAGAACTGAAAATGAACTGAACTAGAACTAAACATGAAAAGTAATTGATTCAATACGAGTTTTATATCAGGTGTTTGAAAATCTGCTTTATCCCATCTGGATAGCAAACTTAGGAGAATTTTGTCTCTTTTAAGGAATTTTATATGCCATTACGTTTCCCATCCCTGTACTATAACATCGTAATTTAAGCCATTTAAAAACCACTCAACAATATTGTCTCTTAAATTATATGATTTTCTTTCTTATGCATTTTTATCTTTCTTTCATTTTCATGTTCCAGTTGGATGCGGAAAATCTTAAAGTACAATATAATTTCAACATAACATTGGATCATCATAAATTTGGTGAAATGTTTATTGTTTGCGGTCATCTATATGCCATCGATTCGTGTACGGATAAAAATTCTCAAATACGTTATGCCGTCGATTTGTATCAGGGTAAATTGTTAAATGTCAATTTACCTTTTACGAATCCATTTAGTAAGACGACAACAGTTGGCTATAATCCTTATACTGTGGTAAGTAAATGATGGAAGTGATGTGATTTGTAACTTTATTCGAATTTTATTGTGATGAGAAGACATCAGGATAGTATATATATAATGTGTCTGTAACTTAAAGCTAAAATACTTACATAAAGTTGGCAAATATTGAGTTTAAATATGCGAACAAAAACAGGATTCCCTAACAAAATATTGTATAGTATTCAATGTGAAGTGTTAAATATGAAAATATAAATATTATTCTAATGGAAATCCTTTTCTTGCTAAAAAAATAAAAGTTAAGGACAATCTGAACACTAACATAAAGACAAATATTTATTTAAAGTTGTATATTTGCCAACTATTTATTATTATTATTTCTAACTCGAAATTGCCTTAATATATTACTTGTTACTTAAGTATAAGTGATGGATTATTTGTTCTATACGTATTATGTGTTTTTATTTAAGGTTAAAAGGCTTGATCTGTATGTACAAATGGGAAATCCTTTTAATAAAAATAAAATACATTCAATAGATCAACAAAAGATTGATAGAGATGAATGAGTTGTTGCATGATACAATTTTCATTCAAATGGATATTTTTCTCGTTTTAGGAAAATGAATAAAATCAAATTTGTTTTGAGAGTAATACGATAGTTTATAGGAATAGCAAACTATTAAAGGGCAAATGCCATAAAATTAAATTGCAAATTGTAAAGAAAATATAAAATTTTCAGGAAGATAAAAATTAGATTTGTAGTTTTAAACTACGTACGTAAAAAATATTTGTTGTAAATAGCTAAATTTCATAATTTACACCAGAGAGTGAGTGGGTTTTATGATTTTGTGTTCTAGTTCAGTCCTAGTTCAGTTTCTAGTTCAGTTCTAGTTCAGTTCTAGTTCAGTTCTAGTTCAGTTCTAGTCAGTAGTAGTTCAGTTCTAGTTCAGTTCTAGTTCAGTTCTAGTTCAGTTCTAGTTCAGTTCTAGTTCAGTTCTAGTTCAGTTCTAGTTCAGTTCTAGTTCAGTTCTAGTTCAGTTCTAGTTCAGTTCTATTTCAGTTCTAGTTCTGTTCTAGTTCAGTTCTAGTTCAGTTCTAGTTCAGTTCTAGTTCAGTTCTAGTTCAGTTCTAGTTCAGTTCTAGTTCAGTTCTAGTTCAGTTCAGTTCAGTTCTAGTTCAGTTCTAGTTCAGTTCTAGTTCAGTTCTAGTTCAGTTCTAGTTCAGTTCTAGTTCAGTTCTAGTTCAGTTCTAGTTCAGTTCTAGTTCAGTTCTAGTTCAGTTCTAGTTTAGTTCTAGTTCAGTTCTAGTTCAGTTCTAGTTCAGTTCTAGTTCAGTTTAGTTCAGTTCTAGTTCAGTTCTAGTTCAGTTCTAGTTCAGTTCTAGTTCAGTTCTAGTTCAGTTCTAGTTCAGTTCTAGTTCAGTTCTAGTTCAGTTCTAGTTCAGTTCTAGTACAGTTCTAGTTCAGTTCTAGTTCAGTTCTAGTTCAGTTCTAGTTCAGTTCTAGTTCAGTTCTAGTTCAGTTCTAGTTCAGTTCTAGTTCAGTTCTAGTTCAGTTCTAGTTCAGTTCTAGTTCAGTTCTAGTTCAGTTCTAGTTCAGTTCTAGTTCAGTTCTAGTTCAGTTCTAGTTCAGTTCTAGTTCAGTTCTAGTTCAGTTCTAGTTCAGTTCTAGTTCAGTTCAAGTTCAGTTCTAGTTCAGTTCTAGTTCAGTTCTAGTTCAGTTCTAGTTCAGTTCAGTCAGTTCTAGTTCAGTTCTAGTTCAGTTCTAGTTCAGTTCTAGTTCAGTTCTAGTTCAGTTCTAGTTCAGTTCTAGTTCAGTTCTAGTTCAGTTCTAGTTCAGTTCTAGTTCAGTTCTAGTTCAGTTCTAGTTCAGTTCTAGTTCAGTTCTAGTCAGTTCTAGTTCAGTTCTAGTTCAGTTCTAGTTCAGTTCTGGTTCAGTTCTAGTTCAGTTCAAGTTCAGTTCTAGTTCAGTTCTAGTTCAGTTCTAGTTCAGTTCTAGTTCAGTTCTAGTTCAGTTCTAGTTCAGTTCTAGTTCAGTTCTAGTTCAGTTCTAGTTCAGTTCTAGTTCAGTTCTAGTTCAGTTCTAGTTCAGTTCTAGTTCAGTTCTAGTTCAGTTCTAGTTCAGTTCTAGTTCAGTTCTAGTTCAGTTCTAGTTCAGTTCTAGTTCAGTTCTAGTTCAGTTCTAGTTCAGTTCTAGTTCAGTTCTAGTTCAGTTCTAGTTCAGTTCTAGTTCAGTTCTAGTTCAGTTCTAGTTCAGTTCTAGTTCAGTTCTAGTTCAGTTTAGTTCAGTTCAGTTCAGTTCTAGTTCAGTTCTAGTTCAGTTCTAGTTCAGTTCTAGTTCAGTTCTAGTTCAGTTCTAGTTCAGTTCTAGTTCAGTTCTAGTTCATTTCTAGTTCAGTTCTAGTTCAGTTCTAGTTCAGTTCTAGTTCAGTTCTAGTTCAATTCTAGTTCAGTTCTAGTTCAGTTCTAGTTCAGTTCTAGTTCAGTTCTAGTTCAGTTCTAGTTCAGTTCTAGTTCAGTTCTAGTTCAGTTCTAGTTCAGTTCTAGTTCAGTTCTAGTTCAGTTCTAGTTCAGTTCTAGTTTAGTTCTAGTTCAGTTCTAGTTTAGTTCTAGTTCAGTTCTAATTCAGTTCTAGTTCAGTTCTAGTTCAGTCTAGTTCAGTTCTAGTTCAGTTCTAGTTCAGTTCTAGTTCAGTTCTAGTTCAGTTCTAGTTCAGTTCTAGTTCAGTTCTAGTTCAGTTCTAGTTCAGTTCTAGTTCAGTTCTAGTTCTAGTTCAGTTCTAGTTCAGTTCTAGTTCAGTTCTAGTTCAGTTCTAGTTCAGTTCTAGTTCAGTTCTAGTTCAGTTCTAGTTCAGTTCTAGTTCAGTTCTAGTTCAGTTCTAGTTCAGTTCTAGTTCAGTTCTAGTTCAGTTCTAGTTCAGTTCTAGTTCAGTTCCAGGTCAGTTCTAGTTCAGTTATAGTTCAGTTATAATTCAGTTATAATTCAGTTATAGTTCAGTTATAGTTCAGTTATAGTTCAGATATAGTTCAGTTCTAGTTCAGTTATAGTTCAGTTCTAACCAAAGAGCGAATTGAAGTAAAAAACTGTAGGCGTATACGTAATATAACAATAATCATACGTGGTGTATTGCCTAATAAAACATATAAATAAGTGCATTTTTCATATTTTAAATATTACAAATAACAATATAAACTCCTAATACTTTTCCCAATTTACATAAAGTTGTAAGTCTATGGTATACTATGGTAAAATATTATAAAACAATATTAATTGTAATTAAATATTATCTCTAACCCATTAACAGTGCTATGGCAAAAGTTAGTAATAAACATGTATTGCAAATTATTATTTTAAATACAATTTATTTTATGTATTTATTGTACAACTAAAGTTAAAAACATTTAATTAAACTAACTAATTTTCTATACATTTTTGCTATCATTTCATCTATTTCCAGGAATTGTATTCATGGGATCGTGGTAATTCTTTAACATACCCGATACGCTATAATGAACAAAATTTAGGGGGTGACCATGCATAAAGACTCAATACGATATATATATTTTTTGTAAATATGTAAAATGTAACCAAACAATAGACAGAAATGGAACAACAAAATCCCTGAAAAATAGCAAACTTGATGGCACTGCAGTTTTTGCAATGAAACCAGAAAAAATAGCAAACTCATTGCATTTGTCTAACAAACATGAAAAAAAAAAATTAATAAACTACAGCAACAACATCATCATCAGGATCCTGTAGTAGACAACGAACAGGGCAAGTTCATTTGTATGTGCCATCAACTGAAATTTAAAGCAAAAATTGAACAAAATCCCTAAAACATGACAACCAACTAGGAAAAAATTAAAGTTTTTTCCAAAAAAATAAAATGAAAACCAAGTTGAATGACACATCATCAAAAAACCTCCCCCCCCAAAAAAATGAGGAAACTATCAACTAAAGGACTTTAAAACAAAAAAATAATAATAGAAACTAAAAAAACAAACTTTTAGATAAATTTTATGCAACAAATTTTGTACCAGAAAATATAAATTACCAAAAAACAAAAACTTTAATATTATTTGTAATACTAAACTTTAGAAAAATAAATTAAAAACTGTGAAAAAATATAAAAGCTAAATATTTGAATTTTTATTTTTGTTTATCAAAATGTAAGTTATTTTGATAACACAATGCAACACGAGAAAATATAACCATTTACGGACACCAAGCGTATACTTAATATTTGTAATATCAATAAATCTTTAACACGTATACGCACATATTATCTAAAAAGTTTTGATTCTGACCTACTGTGCAGAGTAGTGAAATGAATACACATGCATTACCATGTTTAATAACAACCATGTAATTTTCTAATCTTTTAAATGTAATTAATTTATAATTACAAATACATAACATGCATGTTAATTAAATGTAAATACACACATATATTAACAAGTTATTGTATATATTAAGCTGGTTCAGCTTTCTGCCCCTAAAGTTCTTTTAAACTAAAGATCGACAGGCGTTTAAAGTACATCGAATAAAGCAAATCTCTGTACGTTTACTTTTTTAAAACTTGGACTAATGTACTTTGACTATGGACAAGTATACTTGTATTGACTATGGGTTAATGTACTTATTATTGTATTGACTAATTTATGGACCAATTTATGGACTTATCCATAACTAAGTCATTTGTCTGTTCAGAGGACTAGTGTATAAATTAGGCTATAGGCTAGACTATAAAGCAGCATAGTGATTAGTGTGCAATGTGCCACTTAAAGAACACTAAAGTACCAAAAATTCCTTCATATACATATGTCCTTATTCAAACGGCAAGTATACTAACATTTTCGTAAATTCTGCATTTAAGAAAAGTACTATTCATTTGTACAAAAAGTATCTTTTAATAATTTTAAAATTTAATAAAAATTGGATCATTAAGTTTGAATAAATTTAAAGTACCCAATATTACGCATGTTTGGTATCTAGTTCAGTTCTAGTTCATACTACATCAGTTTCAGTTCCAGTTCAGTTCTACTTCAATTCTAGTTCAGTTCAAGTTCAGTTCTAGTTCAGTTCTAGTTCAGTTCTAGTTCAGTTCTAGTTCAGTTCTAGTTCAGTTCTAGTTCAGTTCTAGTTCCAGTTCTAGTTCAGTTCTAGTTCAGTTCTAGTTCAGTTCTAGTTCAGTTCTAGTTCAGTTCTAGTTCAGTTCTAGTTCAGTTCTAGTTCAGTTCTAGTTCAGTTCTAGTCAGTTCAGTTCAGTTCTAGTTCAGTTCTAGTTCAGTTCTAGTTCAGTTCTAGTTCAGTTCTAGTTCAGTTCTAGTTCAGTTCTAGTTCAGTTCTAGTTCAGTTCTAGTTCAGTTCTAGTTCAGTTCTAGTTAGTTCTAGTTCATTCTAGTTCAGTTCTAGTTCAGTTCTAGTTCAGTTCTAGTTCAGTTCTAGTTCAGTTCTAGTTCAGTTCTAGTTCAGTTCTATTTCAGTTCTAGTTCAGTTCTAGTTCAGTTCTAGTTCAGTTCTAGTCAGTTCTAGTTCAGTTCTAGTTCAGTTCTAGTTCAGTTCTAGTTCAGTTCTAGTTCAGTTCTAGTTCAGTTCTAGTTCAGTTCTAGTTCAGTTCTAGTTCAGTTCTAGTTCAGTTCTAGTTCAGTTCTAGTTCAGTTCTAGTTCAGTTCTAGTTCAGTTCTAGTTCAGTTCTGTTCAGTTCTAGTTCAGTTCTAGTTCAGTTCTAGTTCAGTTCTAGTTCAGTTCTAGTTCAGTTCTAGTTCAGTTCTAGTTCAGTTCTAGTTCAGTTCTAGTTCAGTTCTCGTTCAGTTCTAGTTCAGTTCTAGTTCAGTTATAGTCAGTTCTAGTTCAGTTTCTAGTTCAGTTCTAGTTCAGTTCTAGTTCAGTTTCTAAGTTCAGTTCTAGTTCAGTTCTAGTTCAGTTCTAGTTCAGTTCTAGTTCAGTTCTAGTTCAGTTTCTAGTTCAGTTCTAGTTCAGTTCTAGTTCAGTTCTAGTTCAGTTCTAGTTCAGTTCTAGGTCAGTTCTAGTTCAGTTCTAGTTTAGTTCAGTTCTAGTTCAGTTCTAGTTCAGTTCTAGTTCAGTTCTAATTCAGTTCTAATTCAATTATGATTCTTTTCTAGTTCGGTTCTAGTTCAGTTCTAGTTCAGTTCTAGTTCAGTTCTGGTTCAGTTCTAGTTCAGTTCTAGTTCAGTTCTAGTTCAGTTCTAGTTCAGTTCTAGTTCAGTTCTAGTTCAGTTCTAGTTCAGTTCTAGTTCAGTTCTAGTTCAGTTCTAGTTCAGTTCTAGTTCAGTTCTAGTTCAGTTCTAGTTCAGTTCTAGTTCAGTTCTAGTTCAGTTCTAGTTCAGTTCTAGTTCAGTTCTAGTTCAGTTCTAGTTCAGTTCTAGTTCAGTTCTAGTTCAGTTCTAGTTCGGTTCTAGTTCAGTTCTAGTTCAGTTCTAGTTCAGTTCTAGTTCAGTTCTAGTTCAGTTCTAGTTCAGTTCTAGTTCAGTTCTAGTTCAGTTCTAGTTCAGTTCTAGTTCAGTTCTAGTTCAGTTCTTGTTCAGTTCTAGTTCAGTTCTAGTATAGTTCTAGTTCAGTTCTAGTACAGTTCTCGTTCAGTTTTAGTGGATCAAGCTTCTTATATACATAATTTGGCAGAGATGTTTCGGTTCATATCATGGCTGACTAAAATCACAAAAAAAAATTTTCAACCCCAAACCATATCAATGATAAATATAGAATTTGTTAATAAATTAAATAAATATTATGTATACCTGGATCTATATTAATACATATAGACTAACTGATTTTCACTTCCCTTAGAATTCATGAAAATTGAGAACCTCAATGAAAACTAAAAATAATTAAAAAAAGTATTTATGATGAAAAGATAATGTAAAACTTCAATGAAATTCAATATCTGTTCAGTAGTAAATCATTAGGAAATGTGAAAAACAAAATATATGAATATATCCCTTAACACAAGAGGAAAAAAGTCCTTTTCATTTACTGTTTGTTGTTTTTTTTCTTATTTTTATAATTTTTTTGAGGGAAAATGTATATCAAACATCTATCATTATGAACAGACATCCATAGAATTCATGGTTCATTTATTTATCCATTCATCCTTTTTTTTCTATTTTGTTTCATTCTTTTTACATTCATATTAATAATATTTATTATAACAATGTGATTTTCTTCTATGCATGAGATAGATGAAATATAATACTTGCTTGTATGACCTACAGTGGGATAGATTGGTCCATATTCTATTTTATTTAATATTTTTCCCAAAATGATCCAATATGTATAATTTGAATATTGATATTATTTTCATTGCTACTTTGACGTATGTGTAATATTTGCAACAAACATTTTTGTGCAATTAAATATAACTCATACGCTCATAAAGTAATCGACATTTAATGTTTTCAACAAAAAAATTAAAAATTATAGAGTTAAATTTAAATATTTGGTGGTAGAAACATATTCTTTACTTTACTAGAGATATCCGTTTTTGCATTACTGCCACATAATATGTACTTATTGTATGATAAATTATTGTAAATGCATGGGGATCTATTCAACGGTTTTTGTAATCTAGTTCTTGCGACTGTCTGTGTATGTTTGTTGTTATGTGTCTGACTGTCTGCATATGAATGGAGATAATGATTATTTTTTAGCAAACAATAAACTATATTACATGGTTTTCAAAGTTTCTGGTTTGGTAAAGGAGAAATGTTGAGTCAAAATTTTCCTATCTAAACAATTTTTGTTAAATTAATAAATAGAAATCTCTTGGTGAATTTTTATTATAGAAATCTTTAATAAATCCTGAATATTACGTGATTTTTGGAGTTTTGCTTATAAAACTATACAAGAAGACATTAACTTTTCGATCCATTATTGTAAATGTTTACTGTAAGAGAATATATTTATATATAAAGGACAAACAAGTTCTTTTCATATAAATATATTCAAACAATACTATGTATAATATAAACAAATATCTATATCAGTAGATATATATATATTTCACTATATAAGTATAATACAAAGAAAATAAAACTAACACAACAGAAAAACTATAGCTGGATGCAACTTATGGTAAACTCTTTGTACAGAGTATGATATAAGTTGGTTTTAAATCTTAAAGGTAAGCGTATAACAAATTCTACAGTGGATCCATTGGAAACACTAGGCACCACTCATAGAAGCCACACTGCCCGATCCATAGCGTCTGCCAGTATCTGGGTTGTCTGAGACATCGGTCATTCCTTCTTACCATTTTATACTTAAGATCTACAAAAACAATCTGAAATAAAGATACAATTAAACAAAATTGTTTAGTATTTTATTCAGTTCCAGATCTGAAACAATTTCAATTCAGTTTTAGATCAATTCTCTTCAGTTCTAGTTCAGTTTTAGTTCTGTTATGGTTCTGTTATTGCCTTGGCAGGAAATTTTGAGATGACATAATATTTTGTTGTAAAATCGGTCTAAAATTTCATTCTGAAATTTTGATGAAATATTGGTCACAGGTCTAATATGAGTTCATTTTCAGACCAAGGTTAAGTACTAATTTAGTATGTAAAATGTTTGCAGCTCTACCCTCAAGACCCCGATATAATACCACAAATTGCTTAAAATAAACAAATTTCGAAAGTTTTGATGAAATATTGATTCCAGGTCCATTCTGAGTCCATTTTTGCATTCAGCATGGGATTTAACCAGAAAGGTGAGTTTGCAGCTAGATTCGGCCAGTAGTTTCCGAGTTTGAAGTAAAAATAAAAAAAATCTGAAATTTTGATGATTGTTGGACCAGGGACCCATACTGCATCAAAATTTAAAATTTATTTTCGCGAACTACTGGCGAACTACTGGCCGAATCAGGCTGGAAACTCACCTTTCTGGTAAAATCGCATGCTCAATCCAAAAATGGACCTAGGTCCATTGCTTCATCAAATTCCCGATTTTTTTTTTTATTTTGAACAATTTGTACTATTATTTCGGGATCTTAAGGCCGAGGGAAACTGAAATTTGTCATTCATGACTAAAATCTATGCAGAATCCGAAAATGGTTTCAGAATTGATCTAGGTCCAATATTTCATAAAAATTTCAGCACAAAAATTTTGAACCAAATATCCC